TTACCTGCTGATGCGGCAGGTTCGGTCGATCGCGGCCCCCACTGGCCACGGTTCGTCGTCCCGGGCCAATGGGGGCGGCGGGAAGCGGCGCGGGCCGAGGGATGTGCTGGCCACGGCTTCCCGCCACCCCATTGGCGGTGAACCGCGGCCAGTGGGGGCCGCGATCGGGCAAACCTGCTGTGTCAGCAGGTAAATAAACTGGCCTGGCCAGCTAGGGTGCTTACCCTGGCAAGCCGCGTGCCGAACATTGCCGACCCCTGCATTAGACCACACATTTGCCCCTCTCAGACCAGCACTTTGAAGTCTTAAGCATCTCCTCCAAGACGTGATCAGCACTTTTGACTGCAATTGACTTCGGTGGGAGTTGAAGTTGGTAGGCACCTCATAGGAGGTGCTCAAACTGCCATAGGATCACCTGCTATTTTGTGGGCTAATCAAAAGATACTAGCCTGTTACTTTACATTAATCAGTCCCACTCTATTGACTTCAGGGGGAATGAAGGTCATTAGAATCAGGAGATATAAAGATGTCTCAAGTATGTTTTCATTTGTCATGAAAAAAAGAAATAACCAGAGAAAAATGGAAAGTGGATGTAGATGCTACAAAAATCTTCCAAATTGTTGGGCCGAAGATTGGGCTTCTAAGCTAGTAACATAAAAGTTCAATTCTGCCATTCTTACTTAGCTCAAACTATTATTGAAGTTATTAGTAATGTTGACTGAATAAGGATATCAGTAACTGGCCCCAAAATTTGTCTCTTCATAATCAATATACAAAATATGTCTTGCTCATTTTCCCAAATACAGTATTTGTATTTCTAGAAAATACAAGCTGGAGTTGGGGGTGAAAGTTACTAACCACATGACATTCTTACCTTTCTAAATATCTGTCCCATTAGAAGGCATTAAAAATTAAATAAAGATGAAATTATGCAGGAAAAAACCCTTATCCTTTGTAAATAATCTAGTATACATACTGGATTTAGCCAGCAACCTTTGTGTTTTAAAAGCTAGTTAACCAGTATTCCAATATGGTTCATACAACGATGTATTTTTCATATGTAATGTAAATATATAATGTAATTAATTAGCTTTTTGAGTCTTGAATGCAGCCAAATGTAACTATTTTACTTCTTATACAGAAACTACTATACTAATGTTTATTTGCCATTTTCTGTCTTTTAAATTTTTCTCTCTTCTTTTGCAGAATGAACAACCCCCATGTTACTAAGGGCCCAATCAAAACCCATTGGAATCAATGAGAGTCTTTCCATTGACTTCAATGACTTTGGATTAGGCCTAATATAAACATTATATAACAATATATATATAAGGTGCTAAATAAGAAACAGATGGAAAAAATAGGGCTACTCCATCAAAAATTACCTATATCATAACTTGGGTGGATTAAAGTGTTCTGGATATATCTTTACATTCATATTATCATCCACTCCCATGGGGTTTGCTTTGAAAATGAAAAAATAGTGTTACTTGCATATTATAATACAAACATATCAAAGAAATACTTGTGAAGGTATTGTAAAAAAACCATTTGATATAGTCGATCATATTTACCTATATTCCCCAAAGATCTCATCTTTAATTGATTGAGCTTCGGGATCTGGATGCAAATCCTCTTTTTCTTTCACTGTACAAATGAAAGAAAGAATAGATCTGTTCACCATGCTGTTTCATGTATCATTTTTATATTTGGCAGGTTCTATAGGAAAACTGTCAATCATTATCTACAACTGGAGGGCAACAACTTTAGTTAAGTGTTTTGCATTGCACAGAGGAGTATGTTTTCAAGAGGTGTAAAATGGGGTAGCTGCCTAATTCCCAAGGACCCTAGTCAGAGTTTTGCAGCTAAATCCTTGTACATTGCTTTGAAAATGCAGCTCCTACAATTTCTTTTACTAAAACACATTTCTTTCCTGTGCAATTCAGGCTATATCTGGAACCATAATGTATATTTCATTATGACACTATTTAGTTGGAATATGAATTTACAAATTGCCACATTGGAAAAAATATTTAAAAGGTGCATCTAGTCAAATATCCTGTCTCTATCAGTGGGTAATTCAGGATGTTTCCAAGGAAGGTGTAAAATGCATGTCATTTTTTTACAAACCTAATTGTGCAGTACCATGTGGGAATTTTTTTCCTGATTTCTGCTGATGATCAACATGCATTACAGAATGGCATATTATAGTCACTATTACTTTTATCCTAGCTAGTTTAATTGTTTTTTGGAAAAAACATTGTGGGCACACAATTATCATAACTAGGTATATAAAATAGGTAACTGCACATGCAAAAAAATGCTAATTAGAGGATTTTAGTCCAATAAACACATGCAGCTCTAGTAAATATGGTCAAGATCTTTTAAGGAATTTTGGTCCCAAACTGTTCCCACTGAAATCAATGGGAATTAGGCAGCTTAAGTACCTTTATAAAAATCTGGCCCTGTGTGTACAAGTTAGGGCCCCAGTCCTGCAACTGGATCCCCTAGCACGGTCCCCTGTGTACTCAATGAAATAATAATAAAAAAACCAAAATTAGCACAACTACTATTGTGAAACAACAATATATAGGGCTGGATTGTAAACCTACCTGAGTAAGGGGCAATATGTAGCATTTTAACGTTATAACCTGTGGGTATAATGAAAATTATTGTAGTGTCTAATACAGTGGTGGGCAACCTGTGGCCCATCAGGCTAATCCGCTGCTTCCCGCAGCTCCCAATGGCAGGGAACGGCGAACCATGGCCACTGGGAGCTGCACGGGGCAGTGCCTGTGGACGGTCAATGTCAGCACAATGTCTCGCGGCCTGCAATCAGATTACCCTGATGGGCCACATGCAGCCTGAGGGCCGCACGTTGCCCACCACCAGTCTAATACTACCAAACTCCCACAGCCTTTAATTTTCACTTCTATATCTCTTATCACATTTCTAATATTCCCATTGTTTAATTTGGAATACAAAATCTGGAGAAAAATGGAACAGAGATTTCTAATTGCGCAGCTCAAATAACCCATGTAATGCAATGACTAGATTTAGTCAGAGGACATTTAAGGAGTGACAATTCATATCAAATTACTGACAATGGGTGAACCTGCTCGGGCATAATCTCAAAATTTCCATGTGAAAGACATTGGATGAAAAGTGACCATCTATCAATATGATGATCAAATTGGTGCCCCTACTCACTTCAGTGATGCAGGATCATGGCCTAAACCTTCTCTGTTAGAAACTGCTTCCTGAATCACATGTAAAATACCCTCACTAATTAAAACAATGAAACCCATAGGGCCACTCTGGGGCATAAAACCCCTATCTTTCTAAGCAGAGAAAAGTTATTCAGATGTTAACCAGTGACAAGATTGCTAGTGGCACCGAGACCACTTAGAGAGAGATTAATGAGTCTACTCTACAGCCTTAGCTAAGAGCCACCTGGCTTTTAGCTCATGCAGTAGAGGCTCATGCATTTAGCTCCAGAGGTCCCAGGTTCAATCCTGCCCGCCAGCATCCAGGGTCTGTCAGTGTTACACTGGCAGTACAGAGTGCGCCCATCAATCTGCCTCCCAATGACCCCCTCACAAATCATGGAGCATTCTGGGAGCAGAAGTAGGAGTGGGGCCGTAGCACAGCCCCATGTTGATTCTGAGCAGTGCAGCAGCACACAAAGTAACACGGGGAGGATGTTGTAACTTAGACAGGCCCCCATGGCTGTCTCAATGACACCAAGGAGTCCCGGAGAAGCCCAGGATCAGGAAGGTTCAAAAGTGGCTTAAAGCCATTATAGTGTCTCCTCCTCTGGGGTGAGTGTTCTGTGCTGCACCTCTTACAAATGGAGCACAGAATCTCATCAGCTGAGTCAAGATTTGCTAATGTTTATTTAAATTCACTCAATGTCATATTTATTAAAAGTCACAAATACAAATTTTGTATTCCAGTTGGTATGAGTTCAACCGTTGGGGACCGAAGGCAAAATATTGAGGCATTTCCACTTCAATAAGAAGTTATTTGTGTGAAGAATGACTGCTATTATATAAATATCTCAAAAAGGACAACAGAGTCATTTACCTGAGTATTTTCCTCCTTTATTTCTTTTGACAAAGCACATCGTTAGCAGCAATAAGGTAAGCAAAGCGATGGCACACATCAGTCCAATAAACCAGCCTTGGGTGGAAATTCCCTCATAAATGCCAGCATAAGCTTTGTAAAAGGAGAGAAGTAAAAACATTTAACGAGAGGAAAATAGACTATCCTAACCAAAAAAAACACCAACCAAATAATATTTTCTGAACTAAACCTGAATCACACCAAACTATCGCTATTTACTGCTTTACTGATTTCAGTCTAACATTTTCAATGTAAAAAAGAAAAAAATCCAGGACATAAATAATAGGTATGAGGAATAATGTTCACATTTAAGTAAATAAAGTGTCTGCAACATAATATATATAAGTAATTCCAAAGGACTATTTGATTTAGAGGATTAATGCCAAATAGGAAAGTTGGACAGAAATTGATAGCGTCTCATGCAAGCAGTTTTGCGACAGAAATAGAGTTAAAAGTGTTTAGGATACATGCAAACTGCTTAGCTAGCCACATTGAAGATGTAAAACGTAACAGCACCTACCCTATTAAAATAGCACGGTAGCTAAAACCTGTAAATAATATGTATTGGAAATTATTTACATGTCATTATTTACTACTGGGAAGACAAAATACAAAGCTGAATTGAAAAATGATGGACCCATTCCTGCTCCTATTGAAGTACATGGCAAGAAGAGGCTAAGATTTCACTTTCATTGCACCACATAATAGGTAATGTCATTATTTCTTGAAAAATTAAAAATAAAATAATCTTGTTTTATCACAATGGATTTATCACCCTAAATGGTTTCATATCTCACCTCTCTCCCTCGTCTCAATTACATCTTCAAAAATGCTATTGTTATCAACCCAATTCTTAGTCACTAGACGAACTGTATATTCAGTTCCGGACTCAAGTGCCTCAATGGGGTGAAACTTTTGGGTGGGATTTACTGCTTCTGAAATCTTCCCGATCCCTTTACCTATGAAATGTACATAGTCAAGTCACATTGATTAATTCTATTAATTCAATAGCAGGATTCTGAAATGCACAGTTACAAATGATTTAAATAACAAGTGATAGTAAAACAGCATACATGAATATATTTAACATTTGCCTTTGGATAGTTTATCTTATTTTTTGAGGTAGACAAGTAAAAAAAGTAGAAAAGCATTTTCTGTACTTGCTCTTTGATATTCTGCAGGATAAAATCAGTGTCAAACTGAAATAATCCTGAGATTTATGAAGGGTTTGTTTTAAATTTGCAGGATCAAAGTAAATATTGAAGGAATGGCATATAGGATTATAGATCTGCTTTAACTAATGAATGCTTAATTAAAAAAAAACAACTGAATATGGCCTAGATTTATTTACACAATCTGTGGCTTGATCCTTCTCCCATTGAATTGAAGTATATGGGACAAGACTGAGGCCCATATTATCCTGAAACAGATTATTACATCTTTTATACGAACCATTAAACTGGGATTTATACTCAAATTTTCCTTAGACGATAAATCTCCTTGTCCCCGTTTATTTCACATTTGTACTGAAGCTATAACAAAGCTCTCTTTTAGGTATACCTGAAGTTTTCTTTCAAATGGATTTTCATATACAATCTTTACATATTCTAACTGATATTTATTTATATGAAAAGTATTTTCAATCAATTTTTTCTGTGGGTTTCCAACAAAGTCAGTCTTGCACTCCTTTTGCTTTCAAAACTCTCCTTGACATGAATAGGTGTTTTACGTGAATCCAGGACTGCAGGATAAGTGGTTTATTGTGTATGCTTTAAAAAAAAGTATTTAATGCTTATTGCAAAAGGAAGCAACTGTTATTCACTGCAGTGAAGATAGAAGGATTTGCCCTCATCCTGGATACAGTATAGTATAAGTCATACTAATGAATCATAACTGATCCTCTCTTTCAGGATTTTAAGCAGTAACTTTTGCTAAAATTACACAAGGAATATAAAACAGCACCCACATTTATGGCCTGATCCAAAGTCCGTTAAAGTCTACAGAAAGGCTCAGAATCATTGATGTCAATGGGCTTTCAAATCAGGCCTTAGTAGAACCATGCCCAGGTCTAGCGTTAGACACCAAAGTTTGGAGGAAAGCATTAAAACATATGCCTTTTTACTTCTTTTCAGTTACTTCATTTGCTTCATTTAGCTGGTCAGCATTCTAAAGTCAACTAACAAAAGGGATCTTATGGATACTCATACACACAGCATAGCTCAAAAACTGCTCGACCAATTTGCGCTTATAACATGGACAGTAAAGCAATGCTGATTACTGCTGAAACTGGTAAGCAAGCAAACAAAAAAGCTTTGAGCGATTAGCCCTTCTTGATAGCTGAAGGAAAAGAAAAAGAGATTAAGAGTGGATAGACATGGTTAAAGGTGCTGGACATGATACGTTTTCCAAGGCAAGTATACATATATTACAATAAGTAGTTAAATTAGTAGACCACTGGAACATGTTCAATTAGAATAATGCTGATGGTGAAGCACAGTGTATTAGCATAACTTAATCCATCTAGAGGGTCCTGTGGCACCTTTAAGACTAACAGAAGTATTGGAGCATAAGCTTTCGTGGGTGAATGCCCACTTCATCAGACGCAAGGCTTGTGTCTGATGAAGTGGGCATTCACCCACGAAAGCTTATGCTCCAATACTTCTGTTAGTCTTAAAGGTGACACAGGACCCTCTGTTGCTTTTTACAGGATTCAGACTAACACGGCTACCCCTCTGATACTTAATCCATCTAGTGGTACATTTTACAAAATGAACTACGGTACATGAAGCTGCGCTATAATTTTTTAATCAAACTGCAAATTAAGCAACAAGACATTACAGGTAAATTTTAATTACATTTTGTAAAGTCGGGATGTCAGAACAATGTGTTTCATAAAAAAGCTACCCATAAAGTAACAAGAAATAAAGCTCTTCTATGTGAACTTTAATCCTGTTGGTCAATAAATGCCATCAAAGACTTAAAGATGTCAGCCAGACAAGGTAGTCATATTTACCAGTGTGTGTGCAGCATAGGTCTGATCTGGTAGCTCTACTCACTGAGATCATAAGCCAGCAAAGCACTTAAACTTGTCCTTAGCTTTAAACCTGTGAGTTGTCCCGTTGAAGTCAATTTCTTTAATGCCATGACTCACTTATTTAAAGTTAAGCATGTGCTTAAGTGCTTTGCAGGATCAGGGATTGGGTGTTTTGCCTTATTGGGATGGCCTGATTGGGAACAAAGTTTTACACCATGAGCTCTGCATGACCTTTGATATTTGGCACCACAATGTTGTATAAAGGATTTTCTGTATTCTAAAATGTAAGATAGGAGTCCAGTGGAGATTGCATGTGTGTGATTTCTTTCCATGTAAATCTGGTCTGCATTATAAAACTAAATACTGTACAATACCTATAGAAAAGAAATAATGGATAACTGGGGAAGGATTGGTAGAGGGACTAGAAAAAATAGTGTAGAATCCTGAGCAAGGCAAACAAAGATATACTGGTAAGGAAATGTTTACTCGATATACTGAAAGGTCAGTGCGCAGCAGAAATTAGCTTCAGAAAACTGAGAGCAGTTAGGTTAGGTTTTTAATCTACAATAAAGGAAATAAGCTTTAGTAATAAAAATATACCACCAGCATTTGTCATCTCCCCACTACTATTTGTCAGCCATATCATGGGATTCACATGAACATTAAACTGAACTGCAATTTTACAATGTTCCTATTGGATTTAGAGATTTATGAGAACAATGGAAACCTATGGAATAATGGGAAAACAAAGATAAACCTCCCCTAAAGACGTACTATAGTGCTAGTTCTCCAAAAGTTAGCACATCTGTTATGAAACTCACTTATTAAAAAAAAAGATTGGCAATCTTACAGTTGTATTATAATTGTAGGTAATATTTTAATTTATAACAGCACCTGTCTAAATACCTGTGCCTGGAATAAATGGAAAGTTAAACTACACTTTCATCAGTTTTCCTCTACTGAATGGCTATTAAAAGCTTATAAATATGCATCATAATTACACTCTACCTTCTAGGCTTTTGTATTCCAGGAGGTAGTTCGTGCTGATTGGGAGAGATCTTTTTTTATTGGTAATTTACAATTACCCTCACATCCTTAAAATCCATTAGATGAAAATTAGTAGGCCTTCCTGCTTAACTTGACACCCAGACCATACACCTTGACTTTTGGGTTGTTGGACTTTTGGACAAAGCACAGAAGAGAGGTTAGCTCATTTTGTCTTACCACCATTTCTGTTTCTGTTTACTTTTGCTCCTGGCCACAGTTTTACTGGCTGTAACAGGGTGGGAGAGGTGCGATGGTATTTAACTATAGAAAGGATTCACTAGGTAATGCTTGTGATGCTTAGAATAGCAGTAGGTGATCACGAGTGCCCTGGTTCAGGAAAAGCTCGTATGTACCACCAGGGCTTGCAGAGTTGCTCCCAGTACATGTGCAGATCAGCAGTGTGGCTTGAGAGGGCAGAAGGCTGCCTGAGGAGTTGTATAAATGATGGGATAGTGGAGAAGGCCTGTCAATCAGTTGGTCATAGTTCAAGAAATGATTCTCTCTATTAGGAAGTTATTCTATATGGCTAAGAAAACTGTGTTTTTAGGCTTTCAGAATGTTGGGTAGCAAATGAGAATTGAGAAGGATCAGACCTTATTGTATGAGAGGCTACTATCATGATCTTGAGAGATGTCATAAAGGTTAGTATTCTCAGGCTGGGATTTTAAATAAAGCCCAAGGGAAGTAGGTGCCCAATTGTCATTGAATTATAATGAGATTGGAACATGTAACTTCCTTAGGCTCCTTTGAAAATTATAGCAATAGTTACTGTTTCATGTGCCTGGATTTTTCATTAACACTTGGATTTTTGTATGTGCAGTAATCATTGTAACATACATAATTCTGTATCTTGTCAATGCTGCAAATCACTGGTAGCTCTGGATAGTATGAAATTTGGCAACAAAGATTGTTGAGTCAGATGCCTGGCTATCAGAGGCGGATTTAGTTCTATTTTTTTAGGAGTTTCTCTTTCCATTTAAAATATATATTAATGTTATGCTGTATATCATTTCAGGTGGCTAATTACACGTATAGCCATATTGATCATTAGGTTTTCGTATGTCAATGTTTTGGGGGCAGTTTAAGAAATGCTACCTAAATAAAAAGGTAGAAGTAATAATCATTTTCTAAACAGAGACAGCACACATTCTTTCATGGAGTTAAGCCTGAGATAAGCCCATAATATTTAATCAACTCTCTCTAAAAATACAAAAAAAAAAGCGAAAAGCTCAACAATGTTAAATCTATAAATTCTACACCCAGGTTCATAATTATCACCGCAGAGAAAAAACTGCTGATCCTAAATCACAATTTGCTAATCTCCAATCATTCATTTTAACATCAAACTGAAAATATAATTTAACTTTGAAACTGTACTTTTAAAAAAAATTATTCTGCAATGTAATGCAAATGTTACAGAGCGGCGGTAATTTCCACCATTAGTAAAAATTCTCCAAACAAAATGATCCCTGTTTTACATCTAACCTCCCTCCCCCTACACCCCCCCCCAAAAAAAAACCCTCGAACTCTATGATGACTGATTGAATAATTTCTCTAGGTGAGTGAAAAAGAAACTCGAGAACCTATGGCAACCCAAAACGATTGGGAAAAGGATTTCTGCAGAAAAGGACCTAGGGGTTACAGTGGATGGGAAGCCGGATATGAGTCAACAGTGTGCCCTTGTTGCCAAGAAGGTTAACAGCATTTTGGGCTATATGAGTAGGGGCATTGCCAGCAGATCCAGGGATGTGATCATTCCCCGCTATTTGACATTGGTGAGGCCTCATCTGGAGTACTGTGTCCAGTTTTGGGCCCCACACTACAAGAAGGTTGTGGAAAAATTGGAAAGAGTCCAGCGGAGGGCAACAAAAATGATTAGGGGGCTGGAGCACATGAGTTATGAGGAGAGGCTGAGGGAATTGGGATTGTTTAGTCTGCAGAAGAGAAGAATGAGGGGGGATTCGATAGCTGCTTTCAACTACCTGAAAGGGGTTTCCAAAGAGGATGGATCTAGACCAGGGGTCGGCAACCTCTGGCACGCGGCTCGCCAGGGTGCTTACCCTGGCGGGCTGGGCTAGTTTATTTACCTGTTGACACGGCAGGTTCGGCCGATCGCGGCCCCCACTGGCCGCGGTTCGCCGTCCCGGGCCAATGGGGGTGGCGGGAAGCGGCGCAGGCGAGGGATGTGCTGGCCCCATTGGCCCAGGCCGGCGAACCGCCGCCAGT